TGTATGTTGTTGTTGTACTGTCGCAACTCTTAACTAATAATAGTGTGGAACTTACTTCGAGTGTCATTAAGAATTTCTTCAATTTCTATTTTGGCAGTTTCTTCTGTTGCACTGGGCGGTTGTGTCACAAATGTTGATACTTTGATTGTGGACTGTGCAAGATCAATTTCTGTGTTGCGGCTACTTTCAGTTGTAATAAAGTCGTCTAATGCAGTTGTATCAGTGTCTTCTTCAACTGATTTCGGGTCTTGTGTCCTTGCAATGAATTCAGAAGATGACACTAAACTACCCAGTCCAAACAGGTGTTTTATAAGGTCGTCTTGTGGAGGTTCCGTCGTAGCATTCTTATGCTTCAAACGTTTCCTTTTTAATCTGTTATTGAATGCCTGTCGTCTTAGTCCTGATGTATTAACTGCAGGTCTCACTACTACTGTTGGTTTTTCTGTCGTCGGCTTAGGAGTTTCCGTTGTAGTTTCTTTTATATAAGTAATTGTAGTTTCTGTTATGTCCATATTAACGTCATCTAGTTTGTTGCTTTGATCATCCTCTATATTTATTTCTTCAGATGAATTATTATTGTTGATGATAACTTCAATAGCTATGGTACTCTCGTCTATAATGACAGCAGCAGTAGTAGTTTCAAGATCAATTGTGGTGGTGTTCTTTTCGTCTTTAGTATTATTCTGCATCATAGGTAGGACATCCTTCCATTCCCTAGATTTTGTGACGTTTCTTCTGTGATGTGAGTACTTTCTCGAGTTCAGTGCTACTAAATCTCTACTTAGTTGTCCTTTGTACGTGTTGTTTAACATAGGTCTCATTCGTAGTTTCTTTCGCGTTCCAATTGGGAAACGACGTCTTGTAGAAATTTTCGGAGTAGGTTCTACAGGTTTCAAAGTGGTTGTGATCTCTTCATCCTCATCTTTTTTAGGGGTATCTGTTTGTGTTTCATCAGGTGTTGGATATTCCAGTGCTGGCTGAGACGCATATTTCGTTTCAACATTAACCAAAGTTTGTTCTTCCGCTTCTTTCTCGCGTATATCATGTTTATTATCTATCATATCATTTCTTGGCTCTGTTGGATTTTTATTTTGGATTTCTAAGGAATCAGATGACTTAAATATTGATACTGCATGCTGTTTACCGTTAAGCAAATCAGTCAATGATAAATTGTGTTGTTGCAGTATTTCACTTAGGCTGGTACCATTCGATCTCTTCAATATATCTTTTAATGTTAATGGGTCCATTAAGTTGCTATCCTGAAAAATATAATTGGAAATAAACAATTATACACATACATGAATATCACAAACAGATATTAGATATTATTATGATTGCAAACATACGACATGAAATCTAAATTAGTATACTACGCTGCTAACTATTTCTACGCTACGGTTTATTATACACGGCTTGATTTTTTAAAGAAGTTATTACTACTTCAAACAATTAGCGTATTTGTACCATAATGACTTCATCCATAGTAATACCGGGTTCAAGTGCTACTAATGTTCTCTTCGTATTTTGATTGAGTTTATCTTTACATTTTCCTACGATGAGTGCGTCTTGCTTCGCTTTAAGTTTCCGTAATCTTGTAGCATTAATAAATGCTTTAACTTTTTCGCTAGCTTTTGCATTTTCTAGCAGTCGTCGTACGGCTGAGTTGCTAGTTTTATTTTTTGGTAATTTCCCTACTTTGGCTACGTGCGTCGAAGGTTTGCCCTATAAATTATAATTACGATTAAACATGTAAATGTCAGAACTAACAACGAAAATCAATTACAAATCGAAATTAAGAGTCCGCTATAGTTCCTGCCTATCGTAACGGGACAACAATTTATTTACAAGCTTAACTTACCAAACATTTCTGTTAAATAATAGTAGGCTAAGTTCAAATTGCATAATGTTACGCACATGTGAGCGTACGCCTTGGGTTTTTCGATTTATAAATTATTTTTATGAAACGATTTCTACCAAAGCATTTGACATTGCTATTATATTATGATTGGTGTATTGGCGTAGTGCTATGCATAGCATGCAATCAGTCAAAAATTAATTAATCAATATTGTTGGATATTACCTGTGGTTTATCAAGTTTCTTGCTATCTGGTGTTTTGTTATGTTGATCCTTAGAGTTTACATTTTGACTTCGTTTCATTGGTCTTAACGGTGCCGTTCCCACATTTTCTGATGAAAATTCTGATAAAGATTTATCTTCGACCAGCTGAACTTTAGGCTCAACAGCTTCCCTGTCATCAACTGAAGGAAATTCGATGTTAGTTCCAAGCTGATCAAATTCTACTTTAATTTTAGTTGGACTTAGTTCTGCTAATTCTTTTTTATTTTCGTATATTTGACCATCTCTTCGTAATTCTGCTCTCATATCATCAACATTGTGATGTTCCAATGGTTCTGTGTTAAGTTGTGGTGGTACAGCTTGACTGAATTCACTTAATTCTGGCCATTTGTCAAGTGATGGTCGTTTTCTACGCTGTCCTCTCCTTCTCATGGGTCTCTCCAACTCTACGACGTCATCTGTCCATCGGGACGGTCTATTTTCTGGTTTCTTTCGTCTTCTCTTAGGCATTTCTGTGGTTTGGCGAGTGTTATCAAAATCTACGTCGAAGTATGGCCGAGGTGCTTCGTCAGGATAAGCGAATCTCTCCTGTGGTATGAGGTCTTCAGTTGAACTTGTTTGTGGACGACGTTTTCGTTTACGGCCAATTCTGCGACGCTTTGGAAGTCCGTCTGGTGAGTCGTTATCCCAATGATCTGCATTCCGTGGTTCTTGTAAAGGTGGATCTGCTTCCATTGCTCTCCACGGCTGAAAATTTTAAAAATAAATCCGTTAATGCTGTGTGTTTTTTTCTATTAATTATGCCGGTTCCTAACTAGCATACGTGTAAGTCGGCGGCGTCCTAGCTAAAAGTATTTTTGGCGTATTCGATTTTGACATTTTCTGTAACATTCTGCTACGACTATGCGGCTATAAGTCCGGATCTATTACGTACGTGGAACTTATAAGTGATTATATGTACCTCTAGATACTAATTTAATTATATGAATATTAATTTATTGAACTAAAGCATAATTATGACATCTTAGTTATAAATTAATTTAAACTGTCAAACACCAAGCGGTCACCGGTGACCGCAACCTATTGTTCTATAATTGTGTCTACAAAACCGGTACTCGACGAGTTAAATACGCAGCAAGTATAACACAGATTTATAAAATTAGGTTGGATTTCTCATATTAAAATTGACTACTGCACATATGAAATAGCTGCTGTCGGTTACATTACAAGCTAAATGATTCAACAGTTTGCATTTAAGTGTAGCGATCCGTAACTGCTTAAAAACGGCGATTAGTAAATGGATACAGTATGCTCACAATTACTAGTTTTAGTGTTCCCTAATAAAAATAAGTAAAAAAAAACTATTATTTTTTACTTGTCTAATATTATGTTGATGTAATCTTTGAATTTCTACTTTTGTAAAGTTAAATATTTTGTACTTAACCTCACACTACATCGTTAACAATTTAACAGGTTACATTTCACCTTCGACAGAGACCGAGCAGCAGCGCTCCCTGATTAACCCTGAATCTTTTAAACTACAAATTTCAATCAACACCCTATACATAACAATTATTACAAACTTCCTTATGTAAAGGAGAGCAGTCCAGCAATGGGCGGTAGCGGACTGTTGATTATGAGATAAAAATATTATCATTATTAAAAAAAACTATCGTGAGACATACTAAATTAACTAAAAATCGCAGGTTACTCATGTTCATATACTGAGAAAAGCTCTACTAGTAGCGCGGCGGTAGGCTACGCGACGTCGCCGCAACCGCACACGCTGCTCATGAAGAAGAGTGTATCTGTGGCTCGAAACTCGTAAAGCTTTTTTCAGCATATTCACGTAAATAACCCGCGATTTTAAATTAATCATCATTAAAGTCTAAATGAAATACATAGATTCATTGCTAACTATGCGGAATTCGTAACTCCACAAAACACTAACTTGCCCGATTCTTATTAAATGACTGTTTATTCATATCATTTATGTATTCACTTAATAATCGTCGTAATTCCGCTACTAATGCGATTGTATTGTTTTATAATTAGCGTTGTTCAACCGGCTACATCGGTTGTTGCGTCTGTGATTGGAAAATGAAATAGTGAAAGGTCATTTGTTAGGTGAATGACATCGTAAACCCACTCATTCAGCTGTCGAGAAAAGTGAATGATTTACTTTTGATTATTATAAACTTGCTCTTCTTCATAATTTCACTTTGAAGGAATTGTAGGCACCGTTCTTAGAAATTATATCTCTATACTTAAAATCTCAAATGTTTTATTTAATAAATAATTATTGCATTAATGCCCGAATATACTGAAATGCTACTAAATTTTAAGTCACGCTTAAGCATCGTTCTGTCACTACAAATTCTTTTTAAAATGACAGAGATATTTTTTTTAAACTGTCAAACACCAAGCGGTCACCGGTGACCGCAACCTATTGTTCTATAATTGTGTCTACAAAACCGGTACTCGACGAGTTAAGGGGGGAAAATCATCGAATGACTGCTCCTGCCTGGATGAGGCGGGAGGGAGTGTCAGACTCTTACTGACTAAAAACCACCCCGTTCCTTCTCCTGCACGTCGAGCCGGAGCCCCGGTAACCCGTTAGGTTCTCCGCGACAAAATGACAGAGATAGCACGATATTTAAGTATACGTCTCAAAATTGAGTAACCTTTCAGTATTCAGTAAGTCAATTCCACACAGTAGGTAGTCTTACAACAGTAAGATTCTTCTAATGCAGATCGCAATATGATTTATTTTGTGCCAATTTGCTAAATGAGTGCAATTTAATAATGACGGCAACATATCTAACAATTATGTATTAACACGTCTTTATATCAAGCTACTCTAGTTTATGTGATTAGTATAAAAATAAGACTTCTAATTAAAGCAGTAATTAGTCCATACAACATTATATAAAATCATAAAACCGTAACGTAATTTTCGCTCTGGTTTTAACACATTTTTCTTGCGATGCGCACACGCATCTCGCATTACGTAAATTTAAGACGATGCGACTCTTTCTGCTCTAAATAGTGCGTTCATTGAAACGTTTGACAAAAAAATATCGTCGGATTCTCAAGCCTTGTGTGAAACTTCGAAACAATACTGAAGTATTCGGTAAAAACAAACTTTACCTTGTTATTAAGTAATTGTTGGTTTAGGCGAGACATTGGTTGATCGAACGGGTGATGCGTCGCGGTCGCGTGTACCACCCGTAGAAAGTCTTTGATTACATTTAACAGTTGAACCGGTCGTTTACTCTAAGACTGGAATAAACTTTAAAGCCTATTTTCCGCTGTAATTGATTAATATATCCGTAGTAGAAATGCATAAGTTTACGCTTGTTTTATTTATTTTTGTTTATGTAATCTCTCTCGTCTTCCGTGTTTTAGGAGAATATAAATGAATGTATACATAACGTTTGTTGCTTGTCATCTTCTCAAATTATAGAGGTCAAATGAACGATATGTTCACGCTTAGATGTAAGCTGTATATTTAAAGAGCGATTAGTCAAATTGATTGATTTGAATTTAAACCGGTTAGTCTCGTTCTTTTTATTTTATATTATGCTGTGCCGGTGATCCATCTCAATTTTTATCGATGGTCGAATGCTCGTAAACATAACTGCTGGACAGATGACCACGAGAACCGTAGATATTAGTTCTGAGTCTGTCAAAGTTAGCACGATTTTGAGCGATATGCTCAGAAGTAGTTATTAGATTTTAATATTAAACCGAAAAGAATTGGTATTAATAAAAAGTTATTCTTCTGTCTATTTTATTAAATCCAAAACAGATGTTTCTTTTTATTATACTTGTAATTCTACCTTCAAGTCATTTAGCTTGATATAGATTGATCGATTGACCTTGGTTCCAATAATTTCCAAGAATGGAAAACTCGTCTTGAATCCAATCCCCATAAAGAACTAAACTTAAATCTAGTTTGCGGTGCACCATATTACTGTTAAAGCCACATTACTACCTATATTTGTATACCTGGCTATATTACATTTGCATAGGACAAATAAAATAATGAATATTATGTATTTAAATTACACGACAACTTATGATATGATTCCTTATCTGTTTATTATCTGTTGAATGAAACCGTGTAAATACATTTTTTTTTTTGTAATCCGCATTTTCTGATGTCTTTGACTACCGAAAACTTTTGTAGGCAAATCGTCTACTATTGGCAGACGTCATGTGGTTACCGTTGCGTTAATATAATAAAGAATTATAAATTAACAATAGACCTATTTGAACCAAAATTGCATCATATTTTAGCACAGACAACGTCATAATTGTATTCAGATAAATATTCATGGCTGCCTGTAATTCGACACAAAACTCCTTGAAAGGAAGTCGAAGAATTATTCATAGGTTTCCAGTTTTTTTGCTGAAACCATATACCGAGAACGGTAGAATAGTAATTTGTTGTAAGTTTCGCAATTAAATCCTTACTAAAGACTGGGCTACTTGGATAATAATAACGTAGCCATAGGTTTTTGTCTCATAGGATTAATGCTAAGTATCCCCCAGAGGAAGCTTGGAGGTACTTACCCTAATTATACGATTTGAGTCTCTACGCAATAAGTAATTGTGAATGTGTGTTACTAGACTAATATTTAACTTAACATAGT